GATATTTTTCCTCTGTACATGATGTGTCCTATTTCCCCCCTCTCTGGTTACTTTAAGACTTTTTATCATTAGTTTTCAGTAATTTGAGTATGATGTGCTTTAGTGTGTGTGTGTGTGTGTGTGTGTGTGTGTGTGTGTGTGTGTGTGTTTAACCTGTTTAGGATTCACTAAACTTCTTGGATCTGTGGTTTATAGCTTTTATCAATTTTGGAAAAATTTCAGCCATTAAAAAAAATTTTTTTTCTGGTTCTCTTCCCAATTTTCTGGGAGTCCACATACACATTTGTTAAAGTGCTTGGTATTGTCTGCTAGTTTCATCATTTCTGTCAATTCTGGTTCTGGGCTTTTGTTTGCTTTATCAAGATATAATTGACGTACAATGTTATATTAGTTTCACAAGTATAACATAGTGATTTGATATTTGTATACAGTCAGAAATGATCATCACAATAAGTCTAGTTAATATCCATCACTATACATAGTCACAGAACTTTTTTCTTGTGATGAGGACTTTTAAGATTTAAAAAAAAGATTTACTTTTAGCAACTTTCAAATATACAATACAGTATTATTAACTATAATCACCATACTGTACATTACATCCTTATTTATTTATTTAATAACTGGAAATTTGTACCTTTGATTCGCTTCACCCATTTTACTTACCCCTCACCCCCAGCCTCTGGTAACCACCCGTTTGTTTTCTGGATCTATGAGCTTGGTTATTTTTATTTGTTTGTGTTTTGTTTTGTTTAGATTTTACATATAAGTGAGATTATAGGGCATTTGTTTTTTTCTGTCTGACTTACTTCACTTAGCACATAATGCCCTCAAGGTCCATCCATGTTGTCAAAAATGGCAAGATTTCATTCTTTTTTTCTTTTTATGGTTGAATAATATTCCATTGTATGTATATGTTACATCTTCTTTATTGATTCTGTGTTAAAATTTTTTTCTCTTCATTATCGGTTACATTTTCTTGTTTCTTAACATATCTCTTAATGTTTTAATGGATGATGGACATTGTAAATTTAACATGTTCACTGCTGGATATAAATCTTCGATATTGTTCTTGCACACAGTTAAAATACTTGTGGATCAGCCTGTTCCTTTTGAGGCTTACTTTTTAAGCTTTGTTAGGGATAGACTAGCCCTAGTACTATGGCATCATTTTTCTGAAATTTTTATGAGTACCTTTGATATTCAATGAGGACTTTTCACTCTACTGACAGGGACTTGAATATTTTTAATACATGTGTGAGCTCTGGAAATTGTTCAATTTATGGTATTTCTGGTATTTATTTGACAGGCCTTGAGTTTTCCCTTATGCATTTGTGACTTAGTATTAATCAGTCGATCCAAGGAGATACCTCTGCATATTTCTGGAGCTTTTCTCTGCCATAGCTGCCTCTTCTCTGGTTGTCTGTCTTGCAAATTTTAGCACTTTAGCCACCATGACCTCTGATCTTGTTTTCTTAACTCAGTGGGACCACTGGTGTCTGCTTATGTTGCTTCTCCTTCCTGTGTGGTCCAGAAAGTGACTCCAGGCAGAAGGCTGAAGATATCATGGGGCACATCTTGTTTGTTTTCCTTCTTCAGGGATCAAAATTCCCTACAATCTGTTTTCCAATGTCTGAAAACAAGTGCCTTCTGTATTCTGTTCAGTTTTCTCTTATTTTCAAAAATTTTGTGGGAATATGGTCAATTTTCAGTTATTCCATTATGGCTAAAAGAGAAATTCAGTAACTTTTTTTACATGTTATAAAACAAGAAATTCTCCCAAGATGTTTGTCAAGAGGGTAAGAGATGGAATACATTTACCTTCATTTACTGGTTAATGTATTTTTAAAATTAAATGTATATATTAGAATATTTGAACAAAAATATAAACTTGTGTAACACATAAATATGAATATATGAGCATATATTCACACTTATTTAATGGCTGCTTAAATTTTCCTTTATTTTTTGTCTTGAACTGTGTACACTTTTAAAATGAATTCTCTGGTCACTGTTCTCTTTACACATTCAGCAGTACAACTGGTAACTGTCTTTGCAAACAGCAGCTTTTAAAATGTATCTACAGACATTTGAGTTGTTTGCATTTAGTTAGATGGTATCTTTTAACGTTTAATTTTTAGTTTCTTCGAATTGTAAGAGAGATGATAGATAGGGCTTTGTTTTTTACAACTTGGTTTCAAATATTTCTTTTAGAATGAAGATTGGTTTTAAAGAAGCTTAGGGATGATAAGAGAGTTTAACCTGATAACTAGACTATATAAAGTATAACTAGTATTAGTACATATACAATATTTTACATTATATTTTTAGATATTGTGTTTTATTTTAGGCTTAAATCGGGCCATTCACAGATCTAAGTAGTATACATTTAGTGTAGAAATATAACTAAACAAAGACAACCAAATCACTTTTTTTTTTTTTTAAAGATTTTATTTATTTGACAGAGAGAGAGGGAACACAAGCAGGGGGAGTGGGAGAGGGAGAAGCAGGCTTCCCGCTGAGCAGGGAGCCCGATGCAATGCGGGGCTCGATCCCAGGACCCTGGGATCCTGACCTGAGCCGAAGGCATACGCTTAACGACTGAGCCACCCAGGCGCCCCGACAACCAAATCATTTTCTAACACAGTTGGATCTGAATGGAAATATCATGTGTAGATGCATGGATATACATGAAATGGCTAAGCAGATTTTGGGGCATTCTTATTATTAAGTTTTGAGTCTTAATTTAACCTTTTTTCTTTATTTGTAGCATAACAGGTGATGATAGAACTCTCTAGGAAGGGGTGCCTGGGTCGCTCAGTCGTTAAACATCTGCCTTCAGCTCAGGTCATGGTCCCAGGGTCCTGGCATCGGGCCCCGCATCGGGCTCCCTGCTTGGCGGGAAGTCTGCTTCTCCCTCTCCCACTCCCCCTGCTTGTGTTTCCTCTCTTGCTGTGTCTCTCTCTGTCAACATAAATAAATAAAATCTTCAACAACAACAACAACAAAAGAACTCTCCAGGAATACTTATAAATTTTTTCCTGTGTGACACTGAGCTCTACATAATTCCCTTTTGATTAAGGTTTCTAGAACCAAGTCCATTATTCAATAAAGTATATTATGTGGAATGTGGTTCTATCTTACTCTACTTAGTTTTCTACAAAGTAGGTCCCTTTTCCATTTCCTTCTGGGTGCAAGTCTACTTCACTGTTTATAGCCCAGATTTAGCCTGAATCTGTACAATATCTTAAAAGTTATTTCAATATAATGCTATTTGCCTATACAAATCTTACTAAAATAATAATACTAAAACTTATATATGAAAAATAAATTTTAAATATAATGAACAATAAACTGGGTGAATTGATTTAAGTTTCATAAATAAAACTTATCTTAGTACATTTCATTAGTCAATATGCTGTTTAAAATCAACTCAGTTAACTAGAATGTTTTCTCTTTTTCTAAAAGATGAAAAATACCTGCAGAAAACAAGTATCCTTCTTAAAGAATCAATAGAAATAGCCTTGTGCTATATTTAAGAGGGAAGGAAAGAAGGAAAATAGGAAGGAAGAAAGAAGGAAGGAGAAAAGACTGCCAATTATCCTGATTTAGGGATTAGAGATTGGGTATAGACCAAATAAAGAACTGAGTTTTCCTTAATTTAGAATAATTCATATGATAAACAGTACTATGTATTTAACATAATCCTCACAAGTGATGGGAATTCCCAAGTGGTTAGCAGGTTAGAAAATTCTTTCTAGCAATTTCTAAGTTTCAAGATGCAGGTGTTTAATTAGGAACAAACTTTTAAAAATTTTCTTGGTTTGCTACTTATTTCACTAAAATTGATAATCACTATAAGGTATTTACTAGCAGTTATAATCACAGAGGGGTTGGGACTGTGTTTGTTCTGAGAGATTCAATCTCTCTGGAATGAATTTTTCTGTTTCCTAGTAGGTCCCTTTTCCATTTCCTTCTGGGTGCAAGGTTACTTCAGTGTTTATAGCCCAGACTTAGCCTGAATCTGTACAATATCTTAAAGTTATTTCAATATAATGCTATTTGCCTATACAAATCTTACTAAAATAATAGTACTAAAACTTATATATGAAAAATAAATTTTAAACATAATGAACAATAAACTGGGTGAATTGATTTAAGTTTCATAAATAAAACTTATCTAAGTACGTTTCATTAGTCAATATGCTGTTTAAAATCAACTCTGGATCTATTTTTAGATCTCTACACCATCTAGGGATGATGCCCTTTTTTGAACTTTAAAAATCCATTATGGATTTGTCAATTGCTGCTTGGTAGCACAGCAGTTATCTTTAGTGACTCTGCAGTATGATTTTTAAAAATATTAAAACATCTTTAGTTTAATGCAGAATTTTTTTGTTTCTTATTCCAAAACATGCCTCTTAATGATGTTAATCTCATCACCCCATTACAAGGTAAAGAGCAATCACTTAAGTTTTGGCATAATATCATAGGGAAAAGAATTTTTAGTCAATAAGTGGTGAAAAATACATATATATATTTATCTGTGTATATATCTATCTATAAATACAGATATATAAGATATATATTTCTATTCTATATATTTTATATACAAATATATTTTTTCTTTTTAGAAATATATTTATCTATCTAGTAATGTAAACTAATCTTTCCCATTCTAATCTGGCCTCAGCTTAAAATAAAAAATAACCACTACCAATGTTTTTACAGTAGCAGAAATGAACTACAAGTCTCAATTCTGGAATCACAAGATCCATGTCACTCAGTTTTATGTTTGTGGTTTTCTGAGGTGCTGAAAGTCCTTTTGGTATCTCCCCTTCATAGAGAGAATCAGGTTTCATAGAATATATAATACCCATATATGTAATTCCATTACATCTACAGTTTTCTATAATTTTTTCTTCGCCTTATTCTGAATTGTCTACAGATACCAATTTTATATTTTATCCTAATAGATAACAAAAGAGAAATCTACTTACAGCCAATCAACATGACACAGATTGAAAATATTTTCTCCGAATTGGTGTTAGGAGACACATTTCCGAATCCTACACTGGTTAAACTGCTGAAGGTAAAATAAAGTGCTGTGACGTATTTGTCTTTAATGGATGGTCCAGAACTTGAGTCACTGTCATTGTATCGTTTCCCAATTTGTTGTCCTAAGGAATCCAACCATCCAATTTTGTCTGTCAGGTAGGGCCTTTCCACATTCCCAATTGCATACCAAATGCAAGCCAGCCAGTGAGCTATCAGGGCAAATATGCACATTAAAAGCATTAGGACAGCAGCGCCATATTCTGAATATCGATCAAGTTTTCGGGCCACTCGCACAAGACGAAGGAGTCGAGCTGTCTTCAAAAGACCAATTAATGTTGTTGTCTGTGGAAATAAATGTGTATGGTCAGAAACAGTTGGCAAACAATTCAGTGTATGTTCCTGTGAAGCAAAGTAGGTAGAAACAGGTTAAAACAATATAGTAGCATTGAGGATAAATGCATATTTGAATTAAGTATTAAGGTTAGTTTTTTTTTTAATTTCACATCTGCTTTGAAAAATACTTTGAAAGTCTGTGGTACATTAATTCACTATCTTGACATGCAAGACTCATGGGACAGAGACTCCATCTGTCTAGTTTTATGTTCTAACCAAGTGTCTTGAAGATAATAAATACTCAGTAAATCAATTATTCACCAATAAACATCCCTGTGTGTTGTGTGCCCAGCAAGTGCCACACACTGGGATTATAGTGTTGAGCAGGCAGACATGATCACTTTTGTAACAGAAAGAGACATTTACTTACTAGACAAAATGCCTTTTCTAATGAGGAGTTATTGCAATCTTAAATGTCACTGTCTTTTGGGGAGAGATAGATATTATTTTAAAGAAACAAACAATAAGCTCATTTCAGAGTGAAAAGTGTGATAATGTTAATAAAACAGAGTGGTATGATAAAGGGTGTTGGGGGGGGTGACTTTATAAGGAAAGGCCAAAGAAGATCGTGCTGAGGAGCTGACGTTAGAGTTGAGAGAGACCTGCATAATGAGAAGAGTCAGGCAAGCAGGTCATTGGGAGACTTATTGGATGATTGTATGCATGCCTTATGCACTATATTTAAATTCATCTTTCCTTTCTAAATGTGCTAAGTTGATGAATTGTTTCTTGATGTCCCAATGGTATGATGTATTTTTTTTTGGGGTGTGATATGTGTAACTAATTGCATGATTATTACTGACCAGGTATCTAATGATAAGACACTTCTATATAATAACAGGATACTTAACTGGTTGTTTGGATTTGAAATCTGATAAGTACAAATTACAAGTTCATTTCTTAGTTTTCCTAAATAATGTCAGCTATAAGTACTATATAATTCACAGGGCATATAATTATTCCATAGTTACATGGTGTTTACCAATCAATTGTTGAGTCATTTTATGTGTTCATTGTTGGTGTTTATTTTGCAGAGTATATCCAACTGTATTAAGAACACTTATATTTTAATTAAAAAAATAGCATGTCAGAGTTATCACCCTCTATCTATTCATATTGAATTGATGGAAAAAAAGCACTAAATATTAAGAAAAATAGTTTCATTAGTATTCTATAATCAGTGTTGTAGTTTCTTTCTTTCTTCCTTTCTCTTTCTTTCTCTCTCACTCTCTCTCTTTCTTTCTTTCTTCTTTTTCTTGTGCCAGAGTGGTCAAGAGGAGAAGGGGAGATCCTTCGGTCTCCGCTGAATTCTTTTCAGTTTGTATTGCAAACTTCTAGAGGTGAGAGGAGATTATGCAGTTAGGATGTGCATATCACATTTGGGCTCTGGTCTTTACTCATTATGGGATGTGTGGAGAAATGGTTCTTCCTTGTTTCCAATGTTGAGTTACTAATTTTTAAGGTAGAATAAAGAAAATAGTATTTTTTTTTCTTCACAAATGTAAAGAGTGTATCTGTTCTCAGTGAATAAATGGAGAGTTTAAGTTAGTATAAGGTAGTTCTCTGGAAGAAAAGTCAAATTTCCATCATTTGAATTATCAACATTTTAACTGATGAGCTTTTTTTTTTTAATTTAGTTGGTTCTTCTTTTTTGTTTCAAGTTTTTATTTAAATTCTAGTTAGTTAACATATAGTGTAATATTGGTTTCAGGAGTAGAATTTAGTGATTTATCACTTACATATAACACTCTGTGCTCATCACAGCAAGTGCCCTCCTTAATCCCCATCACCCATTGAGCCCATCCCCCACCCACCTCCCCTCCAGAAACCCTCAGTTTTTTCTCTATACTTAATAGTCTCTTATGGTTTGCTTCCCTCTCTCTCTCTTTCTTTTTACTTCCTTTCCCTATGTTAACCAATTTTGCTTCTTAAATTCCACAGATGAGTGAAATCATGTGGTATTTGTCTTTGACTTATTTTGCTTAGCATAATACACTCTAGCTCCACCCACACTGTTGCAAATGGCAAGATTTCACTCTTATTGATGACTGAGTAATATTCCATTGTATATATGTACCACTTCTTTATCCATTCATCAGTTGATGGATGTTTGGCCTCTTTCCATAATCTGGCTATTGTTGATGGTGCTGCTATAAACATCTTGGTGCATATGCCCTTTCAAATCAGTATTTTTGTGTCCTTTGGGTAAGTACCTAGTATTAAAATTGCTGGGTTGTAGGACAGTTCTGTTTTTAACTTTTTGAGGAATCTCCATACTGTTTTCCAGAGTGGCTGCACCAGTTTGCATTCCCACCAACAGTGTAAGGGGCTCTCCTTTCTCTGCATCCTTGTCAACATCTTTTGTTTCCTGTGTTGTTGATTTTAGCCATTTTGACAGGTGTGAGGTGGTACCTTATTGTAGTTTTGATTTGGATTTCCCTGATGATGAGTGCTGTGGAGCATGTTTTCATATGTCTGTTTTAGCTGATCAGTTATATGTTAGGACTTTGGCACGAACAAATGGATGTATGAATTCTGCATCCATACCAGTCTGTCATCTTGGACAAGTTGTTTATTTAATTTCTAAACCTCAAAATTTTCACCTGTAAATGGGTATAATAATACCTCCTCACAGGGTTGTAGATAATGCCCTGTAAATACTAGCTTTTTGTGTTATTTAAATATCCCATGTGCTTTAGTTTTCATTAGTAAGCAGGCACATTATATCGTGAAATGGATTGATAGAACTTACACATTTTCCAAATGCATTACTTTGATAGCTAGAATTCCAACTGGAGGCTTTTCAACACTGGCCTTTTGGCCTCCTCAGGAAATGGCAGGAATTTTAAAGACAAGAGCCTTATCTAGATGCACTGGCTGCTTGGATTTCAGTAACAGGAATAGCCCTGGTTCAACGTGTCTCTTTCTACACTTCACAGCTTCAGTTTGTGTGTTTATTTTTTTCTCCTTGCTCTGTTACCTATTTACTTGTGTTGAGAAATCAGAAGCATTTGACGATTATTATTCAAAACTTTTTATCTTTGAAAGAAAATTTCTCTCTGAACCTCAAAATAAATGAAATATAATGAAAATTCTCTAGGGTATTTGGTTAATGAAGTGAAATGCTTCAAAACAAATGAGATGTTTTAATAACATATTGTGATAATAAGTCCTAACGACTCTTCTGGCTGCCAAGATAGTAAAACAAAAATGATGTTATGAAAAAAAGAAAAAGGAATCCAACTGCTGTGTAAGCCACCTCTCTCCTTTTTCCCTCCCTTCAAAAAAACACTGGTTGTTTCTTCTAGGATTATATCAAAAAGAGGTAAAACCTAGGTGATAGTAAGTTCTCTAAGCAGATAAATGAATATAATTTATATAATAACACATAAGTAACATCTTTTCTGGAAAAAAAGGGTTTAAGAAATATAGCACATGATGAATTCTCAACCCAACTGACATTATTCCTACAAAATAATTGCAGTTGTAGAGAGGGAAGGAGAGAAAGAGGAAGAAGGGAAGGCAGAGCGATGGAAAGGGGGAGAAATTCCTAAACAGTTGTTTTACCTTTCAGTTGCTTCATAAGATTGAGTGAAAAATGATTTCAACAGTCAAAGCCATTCTGTTGTGATTCCATAACATGTACCCAAGCATAACTACATATGTTGTTTGACAATGTAACAAATGACTTGATCTTATTTTTAGTGTTGTCAAGATGCTGCTAACACACCTGGGCATTCATCCTTAGCTACTGTTGCATATGAGACACGCATATCTTGTAGGTGACACTTAAGATTGCAATAACTCTTTTCTTCTTTAAATATCTCTTTAAAGATTTAAAGGGTTTGCCCATATTACACAAAGAGAAAAACGATTGCACCAAAATCTCAGAGAGAGTAACCTAAAGAATGATCAATCTCCTCTTGCTGATTTGGTGGAGACTCTTAGTCCCCATTGTTTAGTTCAATGTACTCTCTCTGTATTATGTGCAAATGAAAAATGGGACCAACACTTACCTTAATTGTGTTAACATCAAAACTTGGCTAAGTAGAATGTTTTCAGGATACACATTTCTCTCACAGTGTATCTAATTTCATGTAATACTCAGAGATATTATGTAAATCTATTTTTGTGTTTTTTTTCCAAATTTTGAAAATAGAAATAAAACTATCTTTTAACCTACTGCAATAATTTAAAAAATAGTGGAGGTAAGAAATTTTCTTAGATGTTATTTCTTAACTTGTTACTGGTATTAGAAAAAATATTGTCTATTATTACTTTTGGTAGACTAAAAAAGCGTAAGAACTCCCAAGACTTATGTGTGATTATGAATTACAAACACATCATAATAATAAAGTATATGGAGAAAGAGGTGAGCTACTTTGCAGTAGATTGAAGCAAGGTACTTTGTTTTTTTGGTTCTGCTCATAAACGGTAGCAAAGGAGACATAATGAATTCTAAGAAGCCATGGCTCTGCCTTATCAGTACTTATGCCATTTCAGACCTGAACTCCTTTAACTGTGATTGAATGATACTGCAAACTCTTTTTGCCTGAATGCCACGGTAAAGAAAGAATACTTATTTAAAACTTTTATTTTTAATGTATTTTGTCAGAACTTTTTAAATGTAAAATGACTCTTCCCCTGGCAATTCAAATCATTCAGATTTCTGGGTGGCTGAAGCATATCATCCAATTTCAATTTTTTTAAAAAACGTACCCATATCCATAGTTTATTAAAGCCCTAGATACTTTCAGGGCGCCTGGGTGGCTCAGTCTGTTAAGTGTCTGCCTTCAGCTCAGGTCATGATCCTGGAGTCCTGGGATCGAGTCCCGTGTCGGGCTCCCTGCTCAGCGGGGAGTCTGCTTCTCCCTCTTCCTCTGCCTCTCCCCTGGCATGTGCTTTCTCTCTCTCAAATAAATAAATAAATTTTTTAAAAATAAAGGCTT